TAGTGTTGTTGTTGTTGTTGTGTGCAACAAAATGTGACAAGTAAAATTTACAAAGTTTTATTATCTACAGTTCACACACCAGGGCGTACAGTGATAAGTTGCTTAAGCCGATATGAAAGGCAAATAAAAAAAATTTGCGAGCATATAGCGTGTGCGGGTCAACAAAAACAATATGTATAACTATAATTAATATTCAACGCCTTTTTGTGTTATTAAAACAAATTGGTAATCAATTAAAGATCAATCGAAATCAAGCATTTACTATTTAACTTTTGAAACAAACTAATATTCTCTTCACTTAACAACCAATTTTAATTTTAATAAAAGTGGAAACAGTGCATCACATATTACTAATTAAAAAAATTATTAACAATAAAGTATGAAAATAATGAGAAGTTCAAAGGAGTCTTATAAATACAATTGCGTACAAAATGAATAAAAATCTGCAGTGCAGGGAATTGTTTAAATGAGCTTATTTAAAACTTCTTTTCAAAACAATTCGAGAACATATAAGCCAATTAGGAACTGACATAGAAATGGAGCCCTGTAATATAAATAAGCAAGCGAACTATTTAAATTTTTGTGTTGAAACAAGCCCTGAAATATGAGTATCTCTACAATTTTGGTTGGCATATTCTATTATTTTATCACCAAGGATTATTGTGTATTGAAAATATATAGACACCATAGCATTCTTCTTCTTGCCTAACGTTAGTTGAAATTCTTTGAAGTTTGTTAGCTGGCTTATCACCGCATACCCGATAAAGACTGTATGTGGCTGAATCTGAGCCTCAGCTAAGCACAAGCCGAGCATCCTTGCCATAATTTGCTTCGAGCAGCGCTGACACAGTTTTATTGGCTTTTTGCTTTGGCTGCGTTGTCCTTCGTTGCACGAAAATACTCTCTCAGTATGGTTTTTTGCCTTTTTTCGGCTTTTGTCTCATGAATAATGCATTCACAATTAAGCGGGCCAGCAAGAATTGGAAAGAGCCAAGGCGGGAATGCCAAAGGAGTCTTATGAGCCTTAGTTAGGAGTCGCGGTTGCCGGAGCAGCTTGCACACAACTTCGCAGAGGGCATTTAAAAGCTTGTCTCTATTGTAGTTATTGTTATTCCGATTGTTTTACCCGTCGCTACAAAACTTGTGATTGTAGCTACTGCAGCTGTTGTTTTTGCTTTGCTGATATTTTTGGTATTTTACTTGCGCAAAAGTTTTCTAAATTTAGAAACGCAAACAGTTAGAACGCACAAATGCTGCCCCTTTTCGTATTTGTTTTTGAATTTTAAAATATCAAAGTTTAAACACATAAAACGACGCATTGGGTCATGTATAGTAGCGACGACGTCAGCTTCGCTTCGTTGGCATTGTCATTGCAATCAGTGTGGTGGAGAAGGTTGAGTTTTTTGACTGTGTGCTTTTAGCTTTTGGGCCCCAGCTGGGAGTTGTCGCAGAGACAGAAGTTAGCTGTGGGTTTGCTTAACTCCTGCGGTGTGTTTGCAAATATAATTTTGTGTGAGTTGTTCTGACACTTGACATTCCTGTCATAGAGTTGTGGCTAACACCGAATGCACAATGGTATGAACGGCATGACGGGCTTGCTAATGTCTGTAATCAATTATTATTTGTCCTAATTTAAACATTTAATCAACAATCATCAGCTTTAATACTTATGTAAAGCGTGTGAACTGAAAACTTTTGGATAATTGAAAAACTTTAGATTAAACATTTTAAGCGACTACTGAATTCTTAGGAAACGATTTAAAAATCAAAAAAGTTATATTTCATAATTAGTTATAGTTAATTACTTATAGTTTAAATTTCATTCTAAAAATCTTGGCATAGTTTGATTAATTTTCATGTTCACAATCAAAACTTTTTAAAACTTTGTTTATTGATATTACAGTGTAAATCGCACTTTGGTCGAGCGACGACTGGCGATTCACTACGCAAAACAAAAGGGGGCAGTAGGGACCGGCAGAGTGGCGGCTATGGAGAATGGCTGCAGCAGCAAATCTGTTATGCGGAAGCGCTTCGACGCTTGACTGAGGCCACTTCAGAAGAATAGGAAACAACAGCGTCAAAAATAATTGTCGACTCAACTCTATTCAATGCACTTTATTAACCTTCAATGGCGAACAGGGATGGGATGGAGATGGGCGTGTGTCCCAAACACTAAACGATTTAATTAGAGACAGAGAGAGATTTCCAAGAACAGAACTTCGTCAGGCGAGAGAACTGCAAGAACAGAAGGACTTATTGAAGTTGGTTGCGGTCGAAGCCGTGGTTCGATATCTACCTATGCACCATCCATATGCATTACAATATGTATTCATTACTCTTAAGATTAAATAAATACAAATAAATAAATAATAAAAAGAAAGTATTAAGAGGCCATCAACTAATTCGTAGAATTATCGATAGTATAACCATTTGCCAAACATGTTCCTCGATTCACTATTTTGTGAGTTATATTAGACAAGACATTCATTTACAAGAAATTTCAGAGTATACATAAATGTTGATATTTAAAAGACGCCACAGACTTTATTCGCAAAAATATTATAATTACGTGACCTACAATTAAATCTCTTCAATACCTTTTATGAGCAACTTCAATGCTGAACTACAAAATCTATTAAGGCTTCTACTAATAGATCTACAAAGTCTAAGCTAAGCTAAGCTTGAAAGCATAAAAGAACATTACTGAATGAACAAACAATAGCTTGTAATTCAAATCACACACGGTCGGGATTCAACGTTCAATCTGCAGTAATAATACAAAATAATTTTTAAACTTTTTCATTCCTTCTTCTTGATCCAAGCTAGAATTTAAGCAGACTCAAATGTTATGTGTAGGGGATGAAGCTTTTCCTGCTCGCTCTAATTAGACACAGCACTATTAAAATTTTAATAATTTTAAAAATAGAATTTAATTTCATAATGTTTTCAGCTGCTTAGCACCATTGTTCCACCGTAGCAAGTTGTGGCTTGAATTTTGTATGTGTTGGAAATGGTGCTTCATTTGTGGAAGTGCAAAGAGTCAGTACAGAGGAAAGTTAAACAGAAATGCTCAACATAAAGTGCACTTAATTAAAACAACATGAGTGGGCACAGCTTTAATAGCAGGGACAGTGCTATTAACATACATATGTACATACATATATACACAAACAGACTAATGCTTTTAACAGCAGCGCTTGATAATCCTTTGCGACATGTGTCTCAATCAACACGGTCAACATGGTCGACTCACTGTCAAGGTGGGCCACGTGATGTGCCACACTAAATGGATATAAATGCCAAACCGCGCACGCCAAGGTACAGGATTGGCTTTCATATTGAAATACTGCATGTATACGATGTACATATGTGTTTGTAGTGTTTACAAAACCGCCAGAACATACTAGAAACTGTCGACAACGACAACTTACATACAGGATGGACGACAGCAAAAATACAAATTGCTTTAATCACGTTTGTTCAACCGTGAAGTGAAAGGCGATTTACAAATGAATTCAGAATAGGTTTTTATAATAGACAGAACCTGAGCTAAAACTATTATCAACATTTAATTACATTAAATATGTAGTGAATTCAAGTGCTTATTTAAATTATTTATTTACGTGTACTTGGAAATGCCGAAATAAAGTTTCTCGGACTCACTCAACATTGCATGTCTCATTTAGAAGTATACAGTAAAAAGTGCTTGAAATGCTTGACCTACCTACCATCCTCAACATATACTTGTATGTACTGTATACGAATGTGTACAAAAATGACCCTGAAATCGAGCGTGTGCTTCGCAAGGAACAAATATTTTCTCCATTCCATTTTCTTCATTGCTTACAAATGCGGGCTTATGTTTTGTAAACAGCTAAAAGGGATTTTAAACAATTGTTACAAAATTCGAAAATTATTCAACAAAGAGCATTTAAAAGTAATTTTATCAATTTTTACAAAATGCGAAAATTATTCAACAAAGAACATTTAAAAGTCATTTTACAATTTTAACAAAATTCGAAAATTATTCAACAAAGAACTTCGGTTGAATTTTGTTGAAATATTGGAATTTTTGCAGCCGTAACGTTAAGAAAGTTGCAGAAGGCATTCGGCTTTGTCAAAAACATTTATTACCTACATTAAATCAGGAATGTGGTATGGAGACAGCCAAAATGTATTATGCTAGGAAAGTATCAAATATTAAAGGACTGTGGGGATTGGCTACAAATGAAACGAACCCCGAACCTATGATATTAGTCATATTTTTTTAGCAATGACAAAAGGTACAAAAAATGTTTTTACGTCAAAATTTATCCACACAAATAACTGAATAACTAAGCTAACTAATTAAGCGAATAATTAAAATAACTGCATAACTAAAATAAAGTATATTTTAGACTTAATTCAAGGTATGCCTTACTCAACACTTTTCATTTGATTGGCTGTTGAAGGTTAATGAAACCAGCTAGAACCTGAGTATATTTTAAAATGTTATGGAATTCTAAGAAAAGTAAAATAAAGCGAGAAAATAGTTCGAATATTGCTTAAGTAGTTGCGTAAACGTAACTCTGAACTACGATAGATCTTTAAATGATTTTTGTTACTATCGCTTTTGAAGCATCGCTTTCATTAAAGCATCGAGTTTTTACTGTAGCGGCTTATTCCGTTGCCCTGACAATTTATTATACAAAAGTTAGTCTATAGACGAGCCAATTACGAAGACACATAAATATAGGTATAAGCACATGCATGTGTGTATGTTCGTACATAATATAGACCACGGACTAGCCACAAGATCAACTTTTCAGCTGGGCACAAATGAATTTAGCTAATTGCAAAAAGGTTGACAGCGACAAGGTGAAACTTGAAAATGTCACACACGCACCCAGGCAGACAGACAGGTCCACACACACGCACACACACGTACACACACACACACACACACAAAAACACAGTCATTCACGCCGAGCTAAACACAGACACAGATATAAATTACGCACCTCTCCCAGGACAGACGACGCGGCGCCTCCTCGCCCAGACCCAGCCCCAGGCCAGCATTGGCGGGGGCCTCCATGTAGATATTGTCGCCACGATGTTTATGTTGTTGTTGTTGATAATGGTGGTGGAGGTGGTGCCGGTGGTGCTGTTGCTGCTGCTGTTGCAGATTGGACTTGGATGTAATGGCGCTTGATTGATGCAGCAATTTGGCGAGGCGTGTGAAGGCGGTGTTCGTGCCTGAGCCGGAACCTGAGCCAATGCCTGAGCCTGAGCCTGAGGCAGAGGTCGAATTGCTGCTGCCATCATGCGTATAAAGCGAGAGCTCGGGCTGCAGTTGTTCGCGTTGTGTCATTGTCGACGACATTGTTGCCTCCGCAGATGTTGTGGCACGTTTCTTGACGGCCAGGCGATAGGCGCGCGCGGCAACAACGTGAGGTGCGGGGATTCTGCGGTGGGGAAAATGAGTGCGGAAAATTGTAAAGTCAAGGGATTACACAAAAACGTTACACATGTCACGTACAACAACAACACCAACAACATTAATAACAACGGGCAATGAACGCTGCTGAAGAGTGCAGACACACACGTACACATAAGTACACGTATATATGTATATGAATACATACTCATACATAAATATATACTATAGACTACTATATCCAGCACTTAACTTACCTAAGCAAAAGCGAACCATCAGCATGGCATTCAAAATCATCTGAGAGCTGAAACAAAGAACTGTCTGCCATATGTTGTTGCTGATGATGTTGATGTGGCTGATGTTGCTGTTGCAGTTGTTGTTGCTGCTGCTGCTGGCATTGTTGCTGTTGTTGTTGTTGCGGCTGCTGTTGCAGTTGCTGCTGCTGTTGCGTTAACACCTGATGGGGCGTGCTGCCAGACGATTTGCGTCGATATACCAATGTGCTGTCATCTTTTGGCAAATTCAATGATTTCACCATTAGCGTGTTGTTGTTGTTGGTTAAATGTGTGTTATTGTTGTTGTTGCTGCTGCTGTTGCCAGTCGAACCGCCAGCACGCGTTAGCAACGACCAGCGATGGCCGCTGGCGCTGCCGCTGCGGCTTTTGCTGCCCACCAGCCGTTCGTCTGCAATGGAAAAACCCAAAACATAAATTCAAAATAAATTTGCCATGACTTAATCGCATTAGTGTGCTTGTGCACACACACAAGTATATCTTTAAGTCTGTGTGTGTGTCGCACAGATATTATTTTAAAATAATTCAACTTGAAAAGTTGTCAGAAGTTTTTCATTATTTTCCACACCACATGCAGGGCCAAACCAGAATAGAGCAGGACATGCGGTAGTCGCCACGCCCACAACCCCAACCCGCCCCATGTCGCCTCACAGCATCCAGCACAGTGACAGGAGCTGCAGCTGTCAGCGCCACGAGCTGGCCCCCAAGTCTATGGCGTGGCAAATCATTGCAGCTGCATTTCCATTGAAATAGCTGAAAGGATTCTCACGCTCGAAAGTTTAATTTCGTTGGGCACGCCCACTGACGCTCATAACGGCGCCAATGTCAACGCCATCGCAACCGCCAACGTCAATGCCTTTGGAGCTGTGCACCAAATAGTGTTGCATACTTTATAGCGCAGCAATGAGTTACACAATTTTTTTGGCACGACATTTTATATTTTATGCCACAGCCAATGTTGGCGACACACGCAACACACACAGCCCGACAGAAGAAACAATACGGCTGGCAAAAGAAAACAAGTCCATAAATAACAATTAGGCTCTTGGCATCATCCACAGAATGTCCAGACTTATATGCGCCATGGCCGACATCAAAATGGCGACAATATGTATGAGGGCGATACACAGACGGCTACGTAGGCATTACGCGTCCTTTACTCTTTCGCTTTCTAGCTACATACCTTTCGAGTGTGTTTCGTAACTAATACAGAAGCACAACTAATATGTCATTCTGACAACGAAAGTGTTTTTTTAAAAACTAAATATCTATCTCAAAATATATTAATTTCTTAAAAACCGAAATGTACTATATTAAATACACAAAATAAACGGATAAACAAAACTGTCAAACACACCTTTACTAATTTAAAACCAATCTTTATTGATTTTTGCATAAAAAAAAACATTATTTTTTAAAGAACACTTAAAAAACCTTCAGTTTTATGTTTTAAGACAATCGAGCTTAATAATATTTAAGTTTGTTTTGATATTTTGGAGAATGATTATTTAATCCGCCAGTAGAACCAGAGCATTCTTTTTTATTATATTTTATATGTAGATATTTATTTTTATAACCTTGTCATACTGTACGCGTAACATAGAAAAAGATTCTACAAAGCGTAAAACCCAAAACAAAAATATATTTTTGAAAGGGAAAAAACAAGGAAATTTAAAAAAGTATACATTTAATCCAAAAAACCAATTTAATCATAAGCAATTACCATACACATTTAACAAGTTCCGACCAAACTTATGTTAGGGAATGCGAGTGAGCTCTAGTTTCTTGGAACTGCAGGGTCCACAATTAAAACTCCATAAGTGTTTGTGTGCCAGTATCTGTCCATATGTTGGTAGTTTATTACCTACATTCAGTCCCATGTTTATTTAACTTTGATTGCTGTTTGTTTATTAAAAAAAAACACTGCATTCCAAAAAGCGAACAACAACAAAGCGTACCAAAAACGACAAAGCAATTTCAAAGGACAATGACGGCTGTAAAACTAATAAAAACACAATGGCATGGTTCAGTTATAGAATTTTTAATCAATTTGTATTAAACAGATGGTCGCAAAAGCTAAATTAAACAAATTAATCAACCAAATCAACCAAGTTGTTGAATGATTTTAAGGAACGCTTGTTAACACATTCGCAATGTTCTGCGTTTTTGTAAATTACCAGTAATTTAATTTTCACTTTTGAACAGCAACTGTGGGTGTCGCGTTGTTGATAACCCCATTGCGCATTTTACTGGGGCGATCTTTTCATTTTAGTGCTCGAATACCAATTAATTTTCATAATTGTAGAGCCTCACAGCAGTAACTCAATTTAATTGACAAATTCAGGCCATATTTCCCACCACAATATTCAACAATACTAGTAATAATGAACTATAAAACCAAATAAATGCAAAATGGACGACACCATGCTGATAAGGCGCTCATCATTTATTGCTGCGGTCGCTCGAAAATAATAAATACAAGTAGCATATACAGTGTGTCAGGGTGTGTGGTACTTATAAATAGATATGCTACCATCGCCATACGCACCCAATTGAAATGTTTGTTTATCCGTGTGCAGCGAGACAACCGGAAGTCCGGGCACAATGATGGCGGGCAACGTTCGCGAACGTAACAATGGCGGCGGCAGTTTGCGGCTGCCACTGCGCGATTGCGTGCCACTGCCACCGCCGCTGCCGCTACTGCCACCACCACTGCTGCCTGCAATATTTTGTTGAGCACTGCAAACAAAGAGAGAAAGAGAAGTTGACAATAAATAGGTTAATATAATTAAATATTAAAAAATCTGCCACACGGTTGGGCATGCAAATGCAATTAGCGAGCATCGTGTTGCACTGATTGCAGCCGTAGCATATCCGTTTTATTCGCATGCCACTTCCGGTTTGCATGTGTGTGTGTGTGGGTATACACTCAGAAAAAATGAAGAATTTATGTTCCACAAGTGCTCGACATTTTTTGTTTTAACTATACAATTTTAAATCTAATTATGGATTGATGTAGGTCCCTTTTCTTATAATGTATTAATATTGATGCTTTTCTATATTTTAAATACAGTTTCGCAATACTATCAATATTAATGTTAATAATAAACTAATTACTTTCATATGCGTAAAACATATTTTCCAATAATTTACCACGAAATTTGAAATGGATGCGACCGAGCTGAGAAGTTCGTTAAGAAGACTACCACCTGTGCCTTGCGATAGAAATTAATACAAATGATATATACCCTACCGTATCCTTACTATGAAAATCTTGCATTAGAAATCATTTTTTACTTTTTTGGCAAACGTGAAATTGTCACAATAGGTTTTAAAAGAGGGTTTTCTTCTCGATAATTTTAATTACGTAAAAAGCTACAAAGACGTTTATTCAAATGAAATACATAATTGCTATTAATCGATTGCACACAATGCAAACATAAAGGCATGCAATCGGAATAAAAGGATGTAAATTTGAAAAAACACAACCGCCCTGAAACGACTTTTAAGGTGTTTTGACGGTCCTGCTTGCATCCCTTGCAAATTTCAAAGATATCAAATAAAAAATGGAATACATTTAAGCTCAATCGGTATATTGTTGTATATTCTACTTTTTTCTGAGTGCATATACATATGAGTGTGCCTGTCAGCTGTTGATGCGCCATTTATATGCATGCGAAGTTGCACAGTTTTTCACACATGCGAATTACATTTTATTGTAGCCTCAAAACTATTTGCTTTTTGTGCAAGGTCGAACGCACACACACACACATAGCAACACCACAACAGCGAAACCGATATCCTGCAACGCATTCGTGCGTGCATTTGCGTGTCAAAATCTGCAGCTGTCAGTGACATGAGCGTCGTCAGTGCCACAGCCATTGTTGCCTGTTGCCTGTTCACAATTTGTTCAACTTGACATGTGATTGAATTTCTCGCAACTCTTAACGCCGTTGTCGCTGGCTATGCCAACTGCAGGACAACTAAGCCTCTTCCCCTCTCTATATATAAAGTTTATGCCATTAAATGCTGAAAATGCTCGCATTTTGATTTGTCAGCTTGCAATAAAGTACAAAAAAAAAGCAACTCACATTATTTGGTTCTGTAGAGCAAAACTTTTTATTTGATTCACTTTGACATTTTTAACTATGCTGATATCCCAGTTCAGGACGATGAATAGAAGTAGAGATGAACCATATCAGTGCAACTGTGACATTTTTACAGACACCAATGTGTGGAGTACAATTTTTAATTTAGTAGAAAAATGAAGTGAACAAAAAATGTTAAATTAAAAATATGCCAAACGACATATATGTAGTATGTCAAGTACGTAGGTTAAGTGCAGTAACTGCTACCAACTGAAGCATCACAATTCTTTTAAAGTCCAATAACCATTCGATAGCTTTGTTCTTTATTTTATTTGTTTTACTTGAATATTAGATTCCAATCAATGACCTTGATGTCGATTGCGTTTTAAAAACAGAAATTTAAAAAAAGGGCCAGAAAGTTATCTTCATTTGTGCTTATTCTTTATGCCTTTGGGATATAACAAAACTTTAGTTATACTATGTATGCCCTTCTGCTTCCATACCAACTTCCATTAAAAAGAATTTTTGTTAAATCTATTTTCTATGCAGACACCCATGATCACCAATGGAAAACCATCGGATATGACTAAATATATCAATAAGAAATAATAATATCATAAGAAATAAAATAACCTTAACCGTAACAAAAACCAAATACGCTTACACTCTTCAGTGAAGGGAATAAAATGCTTTGAATTTAGAATTTAGAAAATGCAACTTCGCACTACATTGCAAGTAGGACTCTCACCGATTAATCCGTCTAAGAATCTCAGAAAGCAATTCGATGTAGTTTCAAAAACAGTCGACTGAATTTTTACTCTTTTTGCCTACTGTATATGCATATCAAATACTTATAAAAGTGTCGTAGGGAGCTTTAAAAATAGGAAAAGTTTTGTAGTTGCATTGAAAAGCAATAAACGAACGAAACCAATAGGAACGTACTTTGATGACAGGCTCTTGAGAACGACCGTTGACGATTGTCTGCTTAGAACGACCGTTGACGACTGACTCCCAGCTGACTGCCTATCTAGCCATTCCTTAAAAGCCATTCTGCTTGCACTTTGTTATTGCCACCACTGTCGTCCCATTAGCATATCTTACATGTATGCAGGTACTACGTTTGGATATTTTGTCATTCATAAATATTTCTTTAAATTGACTTGATATATCCCTCTTTTTCTGTTGAAATTGTTTTTAATATGCTGTTTAAAAAGGTGTCCATTAAAAATATTGAATATTGAAAAATATTTAATTTTCAATAATCATATATGAGCTTATCCGAATCTCAAAAAGCTTGTTTATCACGCTTTATATTCAAACTATGATTGACTGGCTTTCAGATAAACAGTAAATAAAACCAACGCTCTGAGCACTAAGATAAATTGCCTACTTATAGTAGGAATGGGCATCCGTCGTTTTACCATCATCCAAAACTGCACATTAGTTAAAATTTCAAATCTTACTTTAGTTTGCAACGTAAATATCACAGATTTTTCTAAATTTGCATGCAAAACGTATCTCATCTCTAGATTGTAAAAGCTGGTGCTTAAAATAAAAGTGCAGTTTATCTGCAACTCTGACGTTACATACAAGTACTCGAATGTGCCATTTCCCCCCTCCCACTTTGGTAGCAAGTGCACATTATTGATGATACACAACACGCGCTGCATCAATAACTTTTCTTGTCGTTGGCCCAAGGCATTTGCAAGTGAGATCTGAGCCGTGCTTGTTGACTCCCATTGAGGAAGCGCTTCAAGCGTCCACAGCTGTTGCAACTGTTCCTGTTTCTGTTGCTGCTACTTGCTGCTGCTTTTACTGGTAATGCTGAGTGTGTGCGGCACACAAAGTCGCAGTGGAATTTTCACTCAAGTGAAATCATGTAAGCAATTTATGGACGTCCTTGTTGAAATTTTCTGCTAGAAGCACAAAACACGATGTAAAAAAAGTTCAAGTGCTAGAGTGTAGTGCGACCAACTCTTGTGTACTCTTATAAAAAATTAAAAACAAATTAACAATAATTATTACCTTTATCAAGAAATGGCAATACATATATGTATTGTTTCGGTTTTGATTGAGCTTTATGGTTTAGTAACTAATCAGTTCCAACTTAATGCCCTTTTAGGTTGACTTAGTTTCAAAAAACAACAACAAAAAAATATAAATGAAATATATAATTCGTCTTCTCCTCATTAGGAATTGCACAAATCTTTTTTTCATCCGCTATCAAGCGATCTCTGCCTCTTTGCCTGTCTAAAAGATTATTTCTTCAGCTATCTCCAGTAAGTCTCTGATCACTAACTGGCTAATAAATCTTCCACAACTGGGCTGGATTTATACGTTTTTTCCTCCTCTTAAAACAAATGAATTAGCTTTTAATTAATATTAATCTTCCTTTACTTTAAATTTTACTATTAGGAATTTTTATTTTATAAAATCTGTGAGCAGTTTGGTTATCGCCTCCGACTGCACATAGCTGTGAATCGAGGCATAGCTGGCCGAATGGCACACAAAATTCCCACAACGAGCCAGAGGTTTTTTAAAATATTAATGTAAATTGTTGTTCAATTAAGTCATTTGTTCACAAGTCTTTCCTATATAATATGATAGAATCAACCGACTTTAGAATAAATGGAGTCATTCTAAAAGCGAAAATATTAGTTACATATAACTAAGCTAAGATTTGCATATTTTTACACCGATATTTGCTACGCAGCTATGTAATACAGTGTGGCAGTATCATAAACCAAACCAAATGGCAATTTTCTTCCAATGTGTTGCACCGATCAGTTCTGTGATTGTTTGCTATATGATATGGTCTGTATTTTGACAATTTTGGTATCCCTAGCTGGTATCCCTCTCATACAGACAGACGGACAAGCAAACAGAACTTAATCAAGTCAGGTCATCATGTTGATGGCACCTACCTCCTTCTTCCATTACACGTATTACAAACTTTTAAATATAGCCCTTCACCCTTTGGGTACAGTTTATACTGGTAACAAGAAACAAAAGCGGCAAATGACTGCAACAAAAACACAGGCAACAATAAACAATACACTAGGCCAAAATGAATATGTTGTAAAAGAAAATTACACAACACTTTGGCACACAAGTTAAAGTTCAGACGTCTGTCGTTTGCCTGCCATTGTTTACTTGAAGTTAACGGGTAGGCTGAGGCAGAGGGCAACGGTTGCGTTTGTTATGATGATTTACAGTAGTTGGTTGATGTGCTTGTGTGTGTGTATGCTTAAGTGTGTTTGAATGGGGGCCGGTTGAAGTGCGTTAAACGCGACTTAAATGCGACACCCCAAACACATTACGCTCGAAAAGTCAGGCAGTCAGGACGTTCACGGCAAGCTGTTACATTTTGCGCAACTTGACGCACAGCAGGCAGTTGGGCTGCCTGGAAGGTCCTTTCGCAGTGCCCCCCACTTGGGTTGGCAAGACCTGCCGTAAGGCATTTGGGCAGGTTACTTGTAGGCTGCCGATTTGGCTGCCTCTGCTGCCTCTAAGCATTCGCATAATTCAAAGCGGATCTACATAATTGACGCAAAATACATTACCAACCACTTGGCACATATTTCAATGTCCCGAGCAACAACAACATCAAAAAATAGAACAAGAAATTGGTGAACAAGCTGACAAAATTAC